CCACTGCTACCCTGGCATGTAGCAACCTGGGCAGGCGGGGCAGGAGAGCCCATGGCAGTGGGTGGGGAATGCCTTGCTACACAGGAGCTGCCTTGGCCTTGCTGGGCTCCCCTCCCTCAGCTAGGCATGGCTGTACCCGCTCACCTCCCCCTGCAGCCCCTTGGTGCAGGCTGGACCCTGACTTCAGCCATGGGGGGCTGGAGATAAAGAGGTAAAGACTGTGTCTGCAAGAGCAGGGGGGAACCTGCTGCATGTTCTAGTACATTTCCCTATGCTGGTGCATGCAGAGATGGGGAATTTTGGACAGGCAGGGTGTGCATGGGACAGAAATGTAGTGTCCCTTCCAATTTGCCTTAAGTGATAGGTTTCCCTTTTGGCACTCCAACATCTGCGCTCACTTTCGTGCCTCTCATCTATTCACTTTTAATATGCACAGGATTTTGGTTCCGTTTTGTTTCTAATTTGCAGCATGCTTCTCTTGATCAGAAGGAGTGACTGCCTCAGCAGAAAAAAAGACTGCTTTCATTATTCTGTTTTTCACAACAAGGTACTAAGATGAAGGCGGAAAGCGTATGTCATTGGAAAGACCTGTCTCCTCTCGGAATTCCTTATTCTCTGAAAACAAAGGCAGGTTTACAATTAGAAATGCAGGAATGTTCCAGTTCAGTATTGCTTAGAAAGCACTTGTTATTTGTTACTGCTGGTAGCTACAAAACCATGGTTTACACAGTAGCCCATTACTAGCAGAAAACTCTACACTTCGCAATGTAAGGCATGACACTGCTGGGTTTTCTTCCTTATGCAATAGCTAATTCTGTTTTAAAATCCTGAGATGCCAACAGCTTCTTGTACATTAAGGGAATACCATAAAAATAAACCACCAAGTAGCTGTGAAGTTTTTTACTGATTAGTTTCAAGAGACCCAGGTAACATCTATCTGCTGCTCTGAAACAATTCTAACATGCAACAGAGTATGTTTTGCAGCAGCCTTGCAGAAGCCCTTCCCTTGGAGCAAACCTTCCTGCAAAACTTGGGTGCACCCCTCAGTATCTGGGGGTCTGAGGCCCTGCCACAGCAGGACCTCTAAGAGATTTGGCAACAGACTGGTTTGCCTTAGCTGTGAGCAACCAGAAAAGTGTGCTGTGCCCTGCAAGCCCCCGAGGCTCAGCCTAGATTCAGCCTTCTCACTTTGCAAAAGACCCTGTTGGACTTTGCATCTGAGTCCTGCAGGTTTCCAGTAGGATTTAGTCTCCTGGGGAGATGATTTCATAAATGCAGTGCCAGAATACAAGCCCAGACTTGCTCTCGAAAGCAATTCAGACCCAAATCCTCAAATGCACACCATCCCTCGATCATCCAGCCTGCACATTTTGCTATTGCAGTTGCAGAGTCTTTGGTAGCTGCTGTTTGTGCAGGGCTCCCAGCCATGCCTTTGCACCCGTGCATCCAGGGATCCCGTGCAGGAACAAGGCCGAATCTGCCCAGGCACACAGGAGGTCACATAGGAGAGACCACAGTAGTGCTCTGTAGAAAGGAGGTGCTGGATTGCATGCACAGCACCTCCTTTGGTATGTGGGAAGCAGCAAAGCACACATGCAAATGCAAATATAATCAGCTCCCTGTTCTCCTTTGCAGACCTGTAAATGTTACCATTTCTTCCTAGTTCAGAAAGGTACTTGGTTGATAGGCGTTTAGTAGAAGCTACTCTTAAATGCAGCCCTGAAGAGCTGCTTGCTTGTGCCAGTGCCTTGATGTTCCTGTAATCATTCTAAATACTGATACTGTTTTAAATATAGACAGATAATATATTCCTAATTTTATGCTCCATATTTTTGCTGTACGTTGAGGATGTGCATATTTAGTTGTAGAATGAAAGGGGATGGATGACATGTTTTAGAAAACTGTAATTACATCTTTTCATAGATACACAATCTGTGTTCATTTGGATACTTAAGCAGTGGAGGAAAATGGTAAGCTGTGTACATTTTCCCTAGTGATTTTCTATTCTGAGTCACATAATACTATTATTCAAGACATTGACTCAAAAATACTTACATTTATTTCTCTTCTCATTTGAAAAAAGTATACCAGGCACGGGCTGTAACAGTTTCTCCATGAATAAACCATGACTTTTTCTTTTGAACAATGTTCACCTAAGCACTCAGGATTTATTGTACTCTCCATATAGTTTGCTTCAAACATAACTTCCTTTTTACAGGAAAGTGAACATTTTACTTTGCTTGTGAGGCAGGTATTTATTTCTGCAGACAGCTCAAAGAACGCTGTTATTCCAATCCTGTGATGTGTGTATATATACATTTGAGTTAGCTTCTCTCACACCATCAGCAAGACCATCACACAGGGAAGACAGAAAGATTTCAAAATAAGTGTTTGGAATGAGATGTAGAATTCTATGTGGATGCAGCTTCATGTCTATTATAATTTTCTCCTTTAGTCATAAGAAAATGAGGCACAATGAAGACTCTTTTCTCTAAAACTTACTCAGTTTAGCATTTTATGTAACATATGGTGGGAGTGTAGCATGAAGTGGGGACAGAGTTCTGTGTTAAAATTGCACTTATAAGAATTATTATCTTGCCAAAATGAAAACAAAGCAACCTGCTGATTTCATGTTACTGAAATCAATAGCAATAATGTCTCTACTTTTTTCCAATTTCTGAACTGTATGAAGTGTGTGGGTTTGGTATGCAGTTTGCTTTGTACGTGAAACAGTGAAGAAAAACAATGATTTTGGTAAAAGGGAGCAAATCAAAAGCCTGCCTGCCTTTAAACTAAATAGCAGAAAATTAGGTTGGGGTTTTTTTTCCCTCCTTTTCAGACTTTTCAGCTAACATTTTCTGCAGTAAATGTTTTTTGGCAAGGAAATTGTTCTGCTTAGATCTGATTTCACAGAGCAATAGCAACATAATCAAGAAACTTGTTCAATCTGAGATCTCTATTAACAAATATTTGCAAACTTGGTTCAAAATAAATAGGCTTTTTTATGCAAAACAATGAAGAATATCTTTGGAAATTTTAAGACATCACAAATGAAGGTAAAATCCTCTCTTCAAAAATAATCTTACCAGTTTGGAAGTGTCCATTATGTACTGCCATAAGTCATTATAGAAAAATGGATATAGTGATAGTATTATCAGTTCTTCCACATTATAGCTGACTAGATACATGTTTATGGCTATCAGTTATGGTATAGTCAACATGAGGACATTTACCTGCACAGGCAGAACTGTCCAAGAAGGACTGTCCAAGCTTCAAATGCTCCACCTGTGGATTGGTAACTGTTGTCCTGGCGTCACTCACTTTTGGGGTTACAGGAAGACTACTGTGGCTTTGTGTACTGCCTGATGAGCTTGCAGGTTAATTCCGATCCCTTACTGATCCCTTAAGTCAGGTGTGGCCCATAGGCTGGCAAGAAGTCTTTTCTAAACTGCCAAGGAACATCAGTACTCCTTCCCTGTTGTGTTGCTGAGAAGACACTGTTTTCATCTCCGGACACATCCCTGGTGTATTTGTTCATTAAAATATAGCTTGGTTATCTCCACACTGTTCTGAAGTCAGGTATGTCTCTTCTCTCCATCCACATGACTAGAAAACCAGGCTTCCTTCCCCTGCTGTCTAGATAATGATCCTGCAGTATCCTTTCCTCTGAACTCCACATGTGCAATCTTCTCCCACTCTTACACTCACAGAAGCCTTCAGCAAGGATTGTGCTGGATTATGTTGTGCATCCCTTTGCCTTCCTCTTTTTTCTCTTTTGCATTAGTTACATCCTTTCACAAGGGAGGAAAAATCCCTTTCACATTTTATCTCAGTCATACCTATCAGTTCACATTCACTGTCAAGATGTGGACTCTCACCTTCAGCTGGCCCAAAATATAACTTTACTAAGTAGCATTGATAGCACAACTTCATGATTTCTTCTGTAGCCATCCTCATATTTAGAAGCTCCTTACAAAAATCATCAAAGCCCTTAAAACATTCTCTGCCTAACCTGCACCACGAAATCTCCCTTTCACCATTGAGCTAACACTAACGCATATCCATCAATGGTATCTGTCACAGGTTTGCCAGGTTCAGCTCACTGCTGACATGCTTATGAGGTTGTCTAATCCTGTCCAAAGCAAGTCCACATGACAGTGAATAAAGTTCTTCAAGTTGCTTCTGTAGACTGTATTTTCTACCTTTTAATCACTGAAATTGGACTGTAGTAAACATTGTTTTAAACGTGAGGATAAGTGCAGGATAGAAACAGTTCAATTTAATTAGATTATATCTGCCTTCAGATTTGAAATGGCTAAAGTGTGTTTGGGTTACACCATTTTTAAACCCGGACCCCGTTAAGTTGTTTAAGTTGATATAAACAGATTCACCTTTTCAGTTCTCTTTCAGTGTCAATTCCTTTACTTCAAAATGTTGTCTTCAGTAATTCAAACAGGAATTCTACAGGAGTGGATTTTTTTGTTCTTGTTGCACAAGTTTTAAATGGAGCACGATTAGATGTTGATTTTCATCTCTTGTATCAAAAAGGTGAAAGTCTCTGGTGTGATCAGAGAAAACTGGAATGAGTTCATACAGGAGTTTAAAATCTTAAAAAATTATGAAAGTTATATAAAGCACTTCTGGTTCCTTTAACAAACACAACTGAAAAAAGCTTGAGTACTTAAAATTGTGGATCTTTTTAATACATAACAAGAAACTTAGTTCTTAAATATTAACAACAGAGACTTTATTAGTACAACTGCTGTATGTTACTGTAACAAGATCTTTATTTAAGAGAAAAGCAATTGTGATTAAACTGGAAAGTCTGTGATGTGGTTATTTCATGAGTACCAGAAGTACCAGGAGAGAAATCAACCCTAGCAAGGAAACAAAACACAGAACAGTTCTTGCTCGGCATTACTATGTCTTCCACATAAGCAGGAAAT